TTCCTTGACCCACTCGTGGACTTTATCAGCCCACGAGCGCGCGACGCCCGCCGAGCAAATGCCGTACTCGAGCGTCAAGAGCCAGCCGGCGACGACCGCCGGGAGCTCGCCGAGGCCGTAGTACGAGTAGGCGTACGTCGAGCCGGACGACGGCACGAGCGAACTCATCTCCATGTACGCAAAGCCGTTGAGGATGCACGAGAAGCCAGCAATGAGCCACGAGAGAAAAGCCGCGGCGCCCGCTGTCTGGCTAATGATGTCGCCGGTCGTCGCAAAGACACCGGACCCGACCGTGGACCCGACGCCGATGAGGATGAGATCGACGAGCCCGAGTTCGCGCGGCAGCTCTTCCTTGCGCTCTTCTGCGTCAATGACCGCGATGGGTTTGGTGCGGAACATGGCCGTGAGAAGACCCATGGTGTGGATGCGAGCGGGACGATTGAAAAATGACGTGTTGAGATGCAAGACGGGATATCATGCAAGTTACACGGGACGTCGCTTTGGGAGCAAATAAGAAATCGCGTAGGCACGGTCATCGGCTGGGCGACGTCTTGGGGCACGGCTCGCACGTGTCACGCAACCGCGTACCACGGTGGTTCCAACGACGCGGTGACTTTTGATTCTTGTTCATGCCGTGGTAGAGACACCGAACGACGTGGAGGCCAATGTCGAGCAAGACGTTGGTCGTCGTTGATAATCCATCAAGGCGCGTGTTTTGTGCATGTTTTGGTGGGCAGCTAAAGTGCAACTTCGGACAGATTGCATATGGACCATCCATTCGACTAATGAGCTATCAGTCGGGTACAGTAGTATACTGTGTCGTCGATTCTTTGAATACCACACATACAAAAACGCAGTTGTATATACTGGAACGACGCTTGCGTAAAGAGTATGTGGGCGTCCGTCGCAGGCAACGTACGCAAATGAAACCGAGCTCTGGCCTCGCGTGGCGCCACGTCACACACCAAGAGTGGGGCACGGACTACTGCTGGATTTAGTCGTTTGTGGGTGCGAGCGCCGCATGTCGGGTTCGACGTCTTCGATTGGGTATCGCGGGCAGTAGCTAATACCATCGCAGCGTATGAGTCGACACGATCGAAGGATCCATGGAACGAGAATGACTCCGACATCCTGATCCCTTCACCACAAGTGCAACAGCCGCGACGCACTACTGAGCATACCGGTAGATTAGCATCGTCCACGGTGTCCGGTAGAGGAGAAGTCTCAAAAGGTGAAGCGAACGTCGCGCCTCATTGATCCTTCGTTCTTGCTGCAAGTGGCGCTCTCTGTTAAAGCATACTACCTCTCATGGAATGCGGTCTCCGAACGTGTACCCCACTCGGACGTCTGCTCGGACGTATTGGAATCTGTCACTGCGACCTTTGGATCGTACTAACGTTCTTATTGCAGAATCATACTCGTACAGTATTGGTACCGTTGACTGTACGACTTAACAGTGCCTCTGTACATGGATGCGAAAGACGACTCGTAGCCAATCGCGGCTCGGCTCGGCATCGAGACTCTTCGTTCACGATGCCTGTTTGCGCCAACTCTTCCATGAAAGATCGAACCCAGGCAGCACTCCAATCAAATGCGATTCGGATCGGAAACACTGGGCACGGGCAAGTACTACTGAATTCAAATGTCCAAAATGGTTGGGGCGTCCGCAAGCTCTAAGATCTGATGGGAAGAGATGCAGTGTACGTTGCTGCCGACGTCTATTTCGACCCGTTCGATCTGCCTCAGTGCTAGGCCGCACCAAGCTCTCGTCGTCGGTCATTCTATACCGCGCCGCAGCTGTCGGCGACGTCCCTCGCCGGCCTCATGAGGCTGAATAGGGTGTGCTTGTGATCACAAAGTTTCCAAGGACCTCATCGAGAGCATTGCCGTTTGTGTCACGCGGGGACCGCCGTGCGACTACCATTGAGTACATTCCTTCAGGGCTTCCCTGCCGACTTGATTTAGTCGAGCGGTTTAGACACCGGTTTGACGCAGAAGCAAGCTTTGCTTGCGGGCCGTCCATTCTGTACGAGGTATCTTTTCTCGCCCCTGATTGGTTCACGGGATATCCATGCCAGCACCAATCGCATGATCGGACGATACACTCAGATCTTGGCAAGATACTAGTACGGTGTCTGCAACTTTACATGATGTAGAAGGGGTAGCTAGGATGGGTGCATCCGTCGCGCCTGCGTCGGTCGCGCAGACAGTACGCAAACTGCGCCCATCTAGCTGCTGCTGCAATCTCTCTACGCGCCGCTGGTCTTTGGCACTGTGTACCCCACTCGACGATGGGAGTCCACGTACGATTCTCTGGCTTCAAGGACCCGTCGACGCCAAGCGTACATGTTCTAGCCAGGCTAGCGCCAACATGTACTAGGTGCTGGCGTGCGATGCCGACGCTACCCATCGTGGGTAGTCACCCAGGCAGATCGCACCCATCAACCAAGGGAGGGACGCCCGACATTGCATTGAAAAACCAACGACCATGTATATTTATGTACATCAACGACAAAAGAGCATGTCTCGCCTTCTAGTGCTGGTTCTCCTGGAGCGGCGCCTTGGCACTGAGAATGTTGTTGGTCTTCTCGGCGAGCATCGACGAGAGCGACGGGCGCACCGAGTTGTGGCCAATGTAGCCGTCGTTGAGCATGGTGGCCCAGCCGTCCTTGCCGGCGCTGTTGCGGAAACCGTAGGCAAAGTACGAGACGATCGCCGCGCCGATCCACGCAAAGCCAAGACCAATGTCCTCGGTCGGCAGCTGCGCGATGAGGTACCAGTTGATCGTGATCGCAAGCGCGGGCACAAACGGCACGAGCGGCGCGCGGTAGCAGTCCATGGGGCCGACGGACTGCGGGCACTTGACGTAGATGACGGTCGCGATTACAAAGACAAGCGCAAGCAGAATCATCGACGCGATAAGGTACCCGTTGCCGCCTTCGACCGCCTCGACGTAGCCCTTCTGGAAGAGGAACATGGCGAGGAGGCCCGTGGCCACCATCGCGCCCGTGAGCTTGTACGCAATGTGGGCCGAGGCTTCGCGCGTCCGCGAGAGCACGAGCGCCGAGTTGGTCATGTTGAACGAGACCAGAATGCCAAACGACACCATGTTCCAGAGCAGCGAGAACGGCACGAAGAGCGCGACGAGCGTAAAGAACCCGCCCGAGAGGAGCGTGCACCAGAAGAGGTTGCCGTTCTTCTCGACCTTGCCAAAGATCTTGGGCAAGAGACCGTCGACCGACATGGCGTACATGAGGCGAGGCTGCGCGAGGAACGAGATCAAGACGACGACCGGCATCGTGCCCGTCTCACCAATGTGCACGATCGTCGAGGCCCACTTTGCGTTGACGTACTGGAAGCCCGTTGAAAAGTAGATACCGGTGGGGATGTCCGCGTTGTACGGGACCATGCACGAGAGTGCGAGCGACGCAAACGAACTGAGGAACATCGTGCCAAGCACGACGCCAATGACAGCCCGGGGCATGACGCGGCGCGGGTCCTTGGCCTCGGCGGCGAGGCAGCAGACCTCATCGAACCCGACGTAGCCAAAGAAGGCCTGCGACGCACCGAGCATGACACCCTGGACGCCAAACTGCGCCGGGTCTTCGTCCGTCGCGGGAATGAGGTCGGGAATGAACGGCGAGAGGTTGTCCGTGTTAATGAACGAGAAACCGGCCACGATGACGAAGAGCACGACCGCGATCTTGGTCGTCGTGATCGTGTTGATAAAGATCTTGCCAAACTTGATGCCCATGAGAAGGATTGCAACCGACATGATCATCACGAGGCAAGCGAGGAAGCTGTAGTTCTCATCGTTGAGCCAGTCGACCTTGGTCGAGCCTTCCGGTAGGTCTTCCTTGGCCCAGGCCTGGACCTTACCCGCCCACGAGCGGGCGACACCGGCACCCGACATGCCGTACTCAAGCGTCAAGAGCCACGCCGCAATGACTGCCGGAAGCTCGCCAAGAATGTGGTACGAGTAGGCATACGTCGAGCCGGACGACGGGATGATCGAACTCATCTCCATGTACGCAAAGCAGCTGAGAATGCACGAGCCGCCGGCAATGAGCCACGAGAGAAAGGCCGCGGAGCCGGCCGTCAGACTGATGATGTCGCCCGTCGTCGCAAAGACACCAGACCCGACGGTACCACCGATACCGAGGAGGATGAGATCGATGAGGCCGAGCTCACGGGGCAGCTCTTCCTTGCGCTCCTCGGCGTGGATGACCTCGATGGGCTTGGTCCGAAAGAGCGTATCGATGATGCCCATACTGCGTCCGACAATGGAAAAAGCAAAGTGAGCTTGCTAAAGGGCAAACTCAGACTAAGATCTTGTTTTTTGCGAGATAGAAATTCGATTTTTTCTCTTGAAGTTTTTATACCCATTTTGTGAGAAGGCGAAAAAATACAGTCCCAGCTGGCACAGCGTGGGACGACGAACAACTTGAAGCTCAAAAGCAGGTGCACGCCTTCTGATTGGCTGGAAAGAACTTCGAAGTGCATTTGATTGGTCGACGTCCTATCGACCAATCGGATGCCGTCCAGCTATGTTCGAATCGCCCACGTCTCTCTGGCTTCCCGCGAGCGTTTGGGGCCGTTTGTATGTAGTGGTCGTGATCAGATGGGCACATATACCACCTGCAACGACCAGCTGGTGCGACCCAACTTCAATAGGATCCAAGGGCAGCTCCATGCAGGCAATCTGGTCGGCCTCGCAGCGCGAGGAATGCCCCGCTTCTTGCATTCCGCAGCCACTATTCCATGCTGCAAAAAGGGAATGGGCTATGGGGCTATGGATGACCCCGAGATGGATACTGTAGGCGGTGTTAAATGATCTAACTGCTGCACACAAAGACCATCGCTGTCCTCCCCTACTAGTAGGTGTCGTTACGCACAGCAGTGGCAGGGCAATAGCAGGCAAAGAGCTAGCTGTAATGGCATCGCTTTTTTGTCCAGCCGATCAAGGGCCATCGATTGCCTTCACACCGTCAAGCAATGCTCGTACCACAACGAAGATTCCATCCAAACGCTGGAGGCTCGACGTGGCGTCGTCGTAGCTGTCGTTGTCATAACTGTCATTCGCTGCATATTCGTGTGGCAAGCCTTGCAGCGAGACTGCGCGGATACGGTACACGTTCGCAGAGGAACGTCACCTGGATGTGCCATTCAGACGCGCACCCAGACGTGTGATGGAACAGACACCAGGTCATCACAGCTCACGAAATCGAAACCGCGCACGAAGCTCATGAACGTTCTGCCGTGGAGATGGTCGATGCGCTCATCCGTGAAAGCGTGGTTGGCCTGCATCTGAGATGCGAGGTGCGTTATTTCCGCCGTCTGATTCGATGTCAACGACATCTACTACATTCGGGGGCCTTTACGTATAGTGAACCATTTCGTTGAAGTGAGCTTTTTCAGGTGGACGTATAATTTGAACGAAACTGGTCGTGGTGCTGGCCTCTCGACGGTCTCAGCGTGCTGCGATTCAACGCCGTTACCGGTACTGCGGGCGAGTGGTTGGCGCAGGCCGAGTGGTGAGGTCGCCAAGCCATTTGTCGGAGGTCGGCGCTACAGAGTATGTACGAGACACGTTGCTTGGAGGTTGAAGAGAAGGCTTTGGAGATGGGGCTTGGTAAGCGGTGCGATGGGCGGGCGGACAGAGCCTGCGGGCAGGCTACAGGTCGCAGGATGTACCCGTAAAGAAGCGCGATATTCGCGAACCCATATCAAAGCGGTACCACATGACCTACGTACTGGTAGCCGCTCTGTTAGCGGTATACTAATTTCCAAGGACTCAGAGTGTTGGTGTCTGAGTAGGTCGGCATGGGACTCGCCTCTATTTTTCGAGTTGGCAATCTTCCATCTTCTACAAAGATCGATTAAAATGCAAACTCGCAACTGGTATCTGCAATGCGATGTTCAGATGTCGACGCTAATGGCCTTGTTCCCCAGAGACTCGGATTCCTCCCACGGACGCGACAGTGGATTACAGGCGTCATGACGTCCACTGCAGTATCTTGCACCCGTCTACAAAAGCGCGTCTGAGTCGACGTCCCGGCGTTTGCTACTCGTGCAGACGACCCTTTGAGCCCATGCTTTGAGCCGTTCTTGGAAGACGGAAGAGACATCGCTGGACATCCTCCTGCGGTCGTGCCCAAGCCATGTCGACAATTGCAGCGTCAGCACGTCGTCGCGGCACACAACGAAGGCCCTATCAAAGCCGCTCGCTGGACGCGCGATGAAGACATAGCAGATGGGTGCACTCGATGCCTTGCATGATTTGCACGGCTCTTGCGCTGGAGAGGAGAACTTTTCATCTATCTGCGAGAAGCCTTGACACGAGACGACGAAGTCCCTTTGCGGCAGTCAGCCCACGTCCTTCCGCGGTACGGTGACGTTCTGCACCGGGTCGCGTTGAAAGCCGTCGCCGTCCGATCTAGCTTGCACTTTCTCGGCCCCAATGCTCGACACTGCCTTCTCTGCGATGCGCAAGCCCGCGAAACGTACGACCATCTTTTGGTGCGCTGCCCATACGTCCGTGCGATCTGGCGCGCTTTTGCACCGATGCGGGATAATTTGAAGATGCAACTCCCGTCGTCGGTCGCTGGCTTTCTCTACGACGCCGCCGCCGCGCCGTATTTGGATCACAAGTCGTCAATGCATGCCCTCTGGCCGATCGTATGCGCTTGCGTCTGGTATTGTCTTTGGCTCGAACGTAACAACAACTTCTTCCGCACGACGCTGACAAAACTTCGGGCTGCCGCGCTCGCGATCAAAGCAGCTACTATCACACGACTGCACGTCCGGCACTTGGCTTGTCGCGCTGTGGTGCCATCGCTTGACGCGTCGCTCATCGCTCTCAGAGAAGACCCTTGGTGCGCGCGCTACCTTGTCCCTCGCGCAACGCCGAGTCACGACCACTAACGCGTCTCACTGACGCACCGGCCACGCCTCTCGTTCGCATTAGGAAGTCCACCGTATCTTTATAATTCCGTGCACGAGTGATCTCACTTGTCGAGCGAGATGCTTCTTGATAGTCGGTGTGACAAGCGATATTAAATAACATGGCAGGTTTAGGAGCTTTAGACTTTGTTCGAATATCGATAGGACGCATGGCAGAAGAGTCGCGGGTTTGTATTGGTCCACGGAAGACCGCGCCTCTTGGTGGAGGCTCACGGGTCCAGAACAGCGAGACATCACTTCGTGAGGTCCACACAACGGTCGACATGGCGTCCATGATGCAATTCTGGCACAACGTCGAAAACGAATCAGCACGATGGTTTGGCAAACTCGGGTCTTGGTCGTACTTTGTACTAGTACACTAGAAGTACTTGACCAAACAGCGCGATGGGCGAAGAACATCCATTTTCTTGCATAATCATCGGCCGAGTCATCGGCCCCGCGCCCAAAAACGACGGACATGAGTTGTCCTATCGCTACACACTAAGTCCACTCAAGTCTCGGTTAATCCCAACGTTATTCAACCACATACGCGCCAGCTGAACACGATCTGTACACATCAAACTAGATAGATAGATAGATAGATAGATAGATAGATAGATAGATAGATAGATAGATAGATAGATAGATAGATAGATAGATAGATAGATAGATAGATAGATAGATAGATAGATAGATAGATAGATCAAGATCTTCACCACATTCAGTAAGACTTGTACTACGCATGTACGCAAGTGGTTGGACCGCAGAAAAGACCGGACGGTCGAATGAATCGTCGCCGAGCGGACGTGACCGCTTCAACATCATGTAGCCCCAGAACACTTTCAGACGCGCCTGCGAGGCAGCATACATGTAATTACGCGCAAGCATCATGGTCAGTCAATACCTCCGGCTTGAATCGAACGCTGCTACCGTTCTGCACTGTACCAGTTCTGCGTGGTAAAGATAATACTTCCGCCACGGTACAGACAAGGTAGAAGGGTGGTTAAACGATACGTGAATTTAAAAATGATTCCTCTACAATGTACAATCTAGTGCTCGTTGGCCTGGAGGGCCATCTTGGCGCTCAGAATCGACTCCTTCTGGTCGGCCATCATCGAGCTCATCGACGGGCGCACGGCGTTGTGGCCAATGTAGCCGTCGTTGAGCATGGTGGCCCAGCCGTCCTTGCCGGCGCTGTTGCGGAAACCGTAGGCAAAATAGAAGACGATCGCGACGCCGATCCAGATGAAGCCGTAGCCAATATCGCGCGCCGGGAGCTGCGCGATGAGGAACCAGTTGATCGTAATCGCGAGCGCAGGCACAAACGGCACAAGCGGCGCGCGGTAGCACTCGCGGGGACCGACGTTCTGCGGGCACTTGACAAAGATCGTGATCGCAAGCGCCAGCACGACCGCGAGCAGAACCATGGACACGATCAGGTAGCCGGTGGCCGAGTCCGTCGCCTCGACGTAGCCCTTCTCAAAGAGGAACATAGAGAGGCACGACGTCGCGACCAGCGCGCCCGTGAGCTTGTACACAATGTGCGCCGACGAGTCGCGCGTCCGGTTCAGGATCAGCGCCGAGTTGGTCATGTTGAACGACATCAAAATGCCAAACGACACCAAGTTCCAGAGGTACGAGAACGGCACAAAGAGCGCAACGAGGCAGAAGAAGCCGCCGCAGAGAAACGTGCTCCAGAAGAGGTTGCCGTTCTTCTCGACCTTGCCAAAGATCTTGGGCAAGAGACCGTCAACCGACATGGCATACATCAAGCGAGGCTGCGCGAGGAATGCAATCAAGACCACAATCGGCATCGTCCCCGTTTCACCAATGTGCACGATCGTCGCGGCCCAGTCGAGGCCGACGTAGCGGAAGCCGGCCGAAAAGTTGAAGCCAAACGGGGTCTCCGCGTCGTACGGCATCATGGCCGACAGCGCGAGCGACGCAAACGCCGAGAGGATCATCGTACCGAGGACCGTGCCAATAACAGCCCGGGGCATGACGCGGCGCGGGTCCTTGGCCTCGGCGGCGAGACAACAGACCTCATCGAACCCGACGTAGCCAAAGAAAGCCTGCGACGCACCGAGCATGACGCCTTGGACACCAAACTTCGCCGTGTCTTCGTCCGTGGCGGGCACGAAGTCAGGCACAAACGGCGTAAAGTTGACCGTGTCCGTCATCGCAAAACCAGCGATAATGACGAAGAGCACGATGACGACCTTGGTGCCGGTGAAGACGTTGATGAAGATCTTGCCAAACTTCATGCCGCCGAGGAGAACGCCGACCGAGAGCGCAAAGATGAGGCACGCAAGGAACGAGTAGTACTCCATGTTGAGCCAGTCGACCTTCGTCGAGCCTTCCGGGAGACCTTCCTTGGCCCACTCCTGGACCTTGGTGCCCCACGAGCGCGCCACACCGGCGCCCGACATGCCGTACTCGAGTGTCAAGAGCCACGCAGCGATCGCGGCCGGGAGCTCGCCGAGCACGTGGTACGAGTATGCGTACGTCGAGCCGGACGACGGGATCAGCGAACTCATCTCCATGTAGGCAAAGCCACTGAGAATGCACGAGAAGCCAGCAATGAGCCACGAAAGAAACGCGGCCGCGCCGGCTGAACCGCTGATGATGTCGCCGGTCGTCGCAAAGACGCCGGTGCCGACGGTGCCACCGATACCGATGAGAATCAAATCACGGAGACCGAGCTCACGCGGCAGCTCTTCCTTGCGCTCTTCAGCCTCGATGACTTCGATGGGCTTGGTGCGGAAGAGGTCGTCGATGAATCCCATGTGCGCTGGCCTGTGCAAAAGAGGAAATGATGACCAAACCGAGGTTGGCTATGTCCGAGGATGGGACACGCCGCCCTTCAGCTAAAGTTCGCTCGCAAAGCTAGAATTGCCCACGCCCACGTATCCAAAGTGTATCCAAGGCTTCCTGACCGTACCTTCGCATTCTCAGATTCTCATTGGCCAGTCACTTTTGGCCAGTTGCAACTCGAAGCCGAAAGTCGAAGTTTAGGCACGCCTTTAGCGTCTCTCTCTTTCTTTTTGTATGTATTTTATCGAAGCAAAAGTACAACAGCTGGGCGCAGTAAGAGGACGAGTTATCCGATGGCCACCTATCCCAAGACGCAACTTCAACTGGATCAAGGGGAAATTCCCTGCGTCCGCATTAACATAAGAGATGAACGCGTATACTTGCCCGGGCAACTCCTTTAGGTGCCGTTTGCGTGAAGGGTAAAACCATCCAGACCTTTTCCAGGTGCTGGCCAGGTACTGGATGAGATGCCGACGTCGATCGCTCCATAAGATTAGGACACGCAGCCTCACCGCCACAGAACTCTTTGGTCGGGGCCATTGTCCCACACTATACCTACCAACTTGTTGACCTAGTCGCCAAGAAAGGTCGCAGCCATCGCTCGCAAAGCCATCGCAACCAAGCGGATATGTGGGGAAGCACCGTGTGTCACTGCATATGTGCCCGTGGTACGTTGGTGGCGCCACACACACATCCACAAAAAGCGTGGTCCGGCACACGTGATTACAAATCGGCTGACGTCGCCACGATCTTGCGGTTCTCGTCGCTTTGCTTCGGTCCGATGTCATGAATCGCACGTTTTCCCCTCAACAAATATCGTCTCGCGTGTCGCCCGACATTCCGTCCTAGTCGGGTCCCGGTCAAGATACTAACGAGCCGCTTGGTCCACGCACGTCTCTCACGCTTCAATTTCGTTGGGTCCACAGCCTCCAATCTGATCAGATATGAAAAAGAGAAGACGACGACGCTACGCGGCATCGATTTCAGACGTCAAGCGGTTGTAGAGCGTGGAGTAACCAGTGTGCATACAAGCTGCCAAAAACGAGCCACTTGCCTGGACGGGACCTCTGGACGGGACGCGCCAAGCAGGTTGCGACGGACACGACACCGATGCCTGCTCGATACAAGGGCTACGTATTACCAAAGGTTGATGGTCCTTCTACTATGTAGTAACCAGTAGGACAAGTGGGGGGAACACAGCGCTCTGGGATGGACGCATCAAATCGTTGTTGCTGCCATTCGGTCTGCTCCCGGGGGCACTGCCGGTAGCAACGTGTTTACAAGTCAAAAAGGGTCTGTGATTCTTTCATGCACCACCCCGTCCAAGCATCACCAAAAGGCACCAAACGAACATTTGGAAACCGGAAAACGAAATTATGCGTGGAGTGGCCGTAAAACCCATCACCCAGAAGCACCCAGGACCAATTTAATCCGTGGCTCGAATGCGCCAAGCAAAATACTATGTACAACTTTGAATCGATCACGTGGCGACTCTACAAAGGACCGTCGAGCCACGGGCCATGGCGCGAAACGCTGCCTCGATGAAAGAGCTAGTACAGGGCATCGTCATCCGTGGCAATGCTTTCGTAATTCCAAGTTAAGCCAGCTGCACTACACATTGAGGCGGCCGGCAGGACCCTCGTTGTGAGGAAATAAAGCACAAAATAAGGCACAAAGGTCTGTTATGGCCGTCGGGCGACACCCCGTCGCGGATAAGGGCTTTACGTACAGTGCCGCAATACGTCAATGCAAAGAAAGGGCACCTCGTTGCGCGTAAGCACGCAGCGCGGAGTGGCTGTGTTTTGGAGAGGCAATCGATCATGCGTCTTTTTCATCCCAGCCATGATTGCACCGTCGAGTGGCCTTGTGGTGACCGTCGTGATAACACACGACGTAGCGTGATCAGGAGCGTCCAGCACCGTGCCCCCAACGCGATACGTAATTTAATTTAGTCATGAGTCGTCGAGGCGGTTTCCTTGGACAAGGCATGATGCTACACCCTACCCCTACTCCAAGGCACCCGTCGAGGCGAGAGATGATGCTTCTGGTTGCGATGCTATCACTACCAATTTCTTTGTTGGGTGAATAGACGTGTGTGGAGTAGACCGGATACATGCACGTTCTTTTGTGCACTCGTAAAAATCTCGCCGCGTCGTCGTTCGCGTTTCTGTGGCCTCGACGGACCTCTCCCGTATTGCTTCCTGCAGCTACCTACTACACTTCCGATCTATCTATCTATCTATCTATCTATCTATCTATCCATGTATCCACTCTTGGAGCTTCAAAGTCGAGTCGTTTCCACTTCTTGCGTCAACGCTTCGTCCCCATCATGGCCTTTGTAAAAAGACTTCACGGACTGCAAACTCGTCTTTCCTTCTATTTTTTTCTCACTATGACCCCGTACTATGCTCGTGCTGTCGTCGACGGTACACTACACTAAGATTTCGTTTTCCACTCTCGACGCATCGCAGTCCTACGTCGTTGCATCGAGCGACCACTTGGACTCGCCCGTGACGGTGTTGTAGTAGTAGTTTTGGCCGGACGCCGCGTCGTAAGCCGGCACCCACGCGGCGGTGGTTGCTGCGTCTGGTGGCGTTTGGGCTTTCGTCTTCTTTTTCGCCTTGTACTCGCGCGGCGGCGGGCGCGCCTTGGCTTTGCTGGCTTCGATGCGCAGTCGCTTGGCTTCGGCGGCTTCGGCGGCCGCCCGCGCTTTGGCGGCCTCGACCTTGTCGTGGTTGGCGCGCACCGCAGCCATGCGCACTGCCTCTTCAGCGCGCGCGACCGAGCTCTCGCTTATAAAGGCCGAAATGATAGCCTGACGCTTGTGTCGCTGTGCCTCCGCGTGGCGCTGCAGGCGAAGCTTCGTCATCAGGACCTAATCCCAGCACCAATGTCCACCGAGTGACAAGAGCATGAGGTCGTACCCGCCCAAGCTTGGTGGCTTTCCGCGTCCGTACAAATCGCTGCAGCGTGGTCGCTGCATCGTGGCGCGCGTGAACAAGGAGCGCGATCGTGGCGACGCCTTGGGCAAGACGTACTTTGGATGCGTGCCGAGCCCGTCGACTGCGCACAAAAGCCTACTCCCGGCGTGTAAAGGGGATGCGCCGTGAAATAAGACCTGTATCGCAATGGCAGCGTCGTGGCGGCGCGCATGCTCGACGAGCTCGGCTTGCTTGCGGAGAAAGCGCGCGAGGTGGCCTTGGTGTTGGTGCCACGCGGCTTGAATCCGCAGCGCGGCTTGATTCTGACGTGCAACGAGTGCGTCAAAGGCCACCTTTTGCATGCGCGCGATATAGAGCCGCGCGTGGTTCCTCGCGAGTCGGGACCGGACCTTGAGGCATCATGGTGCAGAAATCGACAGAGACGTGTTGGATAGCGCGTACCATGCGCTGGATGCGATGGGCGCTTCGATGGCAGTGCCGGAGATGCCGCTTGAAGCAGCGAACCGTGCACGTGCTTCGCCACACCCGCTGCAAGACGCTCGACGCCCACGCGCGCCGAGCACGCATCATCGCCTCGTACCGGCAATGCTTCTTCCACGCATACGCAATCGACGACGACGCGCTCGATTCGATAAAAGTCTTGTAGCGACTATAGAGGAGGCGCTGTTGCACCTACTTGAACAATACATTCTCTGGTAGCTGTCAATTCGATCGAGCTACCGGAGACGCGAGCCGAGCCGCCCGCAAGTACAAGGGTACGCAGGACGTGGCAAGTACGTGGCGAAAGAGGACACGGTCGCGGTAGCGTCGATAACAGTGCTGCACGGTCGTTGCCGCCATCCATTGGGTAAAGCGCAGCTCCTGCAGGCGCTGTGTTCGCACGTGGCGCGCCACGCACTGGCGCCACGCACATTGCAGCACGAGCACTGCTGCCACGTGGCACCGCCGCATCGCGACACACCGCGTGGCAATCCATTGACGGACGCGTGCTTGTAGAAGAATCGCCGCGAGGTGCCGTGTCCCGAGCGTAAAGGCAGCTTGGAGGTGGTCCTGCAGCTGGGTGCGCCGACGCGACCAGTACGCAATATAGACGCGCCACGCGCGCTGGATGCGCGTGGCGACCTTATAGCATCGCGCGCGGTACAGAAACGTCCGCGCGAGGTGGGCTCGAAGCGCGCGCTGGAGGACCGAGGCCGCATCGTGCAAGCGCAGCGTCGCAGCCCGTCGAAAGAGCCACTGCTTGCGGTACACGGAGGTGCGCAGCCAGCGCTGCAGTCGCACGGCCGCTGCCTCTTGCGCGAGCCGCTGCGAGCATGTCATGTACGCTCGATAAACGCGATGGCTCGCATATGCGACTTGGATCCGTACTGCCGCGCGGTGCCGACGGGCCGTCGTTAGAAAGCGAGCAAAGCGCGTTTGAAACAAGCGGCGCCGGGCATGGGCTTGTATGCAGCGCACCGATTGGTCCCGACGCGAATGGTGGAGAGTGTGCCGGTGGCGGTGCCGGCGCCAGTGCCGCTGGATCTCTGCGGCCGCGGCGTCGCGCTCTTCAGCGCGGGCGCACACCCAGTCGTCGACCATGCAAGCAAATGCGCGGTTGCGATTGGCGAGCCAGCAGCGCTCCCAGATGCCTTGGAGGGATCCTAGCGCGCGGCTTTTTGTAAACGCAGCGACCGCCTCGGCTTGCTTCTCCGTCGCAACGCCGTTCTGCCAGTGGTCAAAGGCAGCCTGCATGCGATGGCGCAGCAGACGCTCAAAGACGTCGGTGAGCGACGTGATCTTGGTGTGGTTGGAGATCTTGAGCTTGGGCAACGACCGGACAGGCACGTTGTTCTTAATCCAGCGGACGTGGTCCTGGACCGTGGTGTCGAGGGCACCACGCGTGATGCGGAGCTTGGCGTCGGACCGCAGGCGAGCGCGATAATGGGCATTGCCTGGCCACGCCTGCTTTTGCCACGCCGCCGAGTCGTCGGCGCGGATGGCGCTGGCTGCATTGGGCAGCGGCGGTGGCAGGGCGGGCACCTCACGCCGCGGCCGCTTGCGGAGCATGTGCGTAGCGTTCCGCGGCAAGAGATCTCGGAGCGACGCTGGACTGAGGATGCCAGGTACCTTCTTGGTCGAGAGACTTCCATCGTCGTCGCGGGACCCCGGCCGCGGCCCGGCATACAAGATGGGCATGGCCACTGTTTGAAACCGTCGCTTGCGTGGGCTATTTGCACGCCACTAGACGAAAGCACGTCACGACATCGTGGGCTTACAGTTGGGTGTTTTTGGCGATTGGTGGCCTATGATTTTGAGCCAATGGCCTGAACGGAGCTAACATGCGAAGTTCGGATTGGACAATGGAGCACCACATATGACCAATGAAAACACGACGGGCAATCTGCAGGTTTGGCTCGTTCGCAGAGCTTGACAAGACGACGAGATGGGCCGCAAGATCGCGGGCTACAACATGGTGGCCTTGCCGACGGCCGACGAAGGCGCCTTCGCGAGCTACATCTACGTGACCAAGCACACAGCCAAGTCGGACGGCGCCGGCGAAACCGAGCTGGCGGCCGACCGCACGGCGTACGTGGTCAACCTGCCCCGCCACACGAGCGTTGAGAGCCTCACCGCCTTGCTCGCGCGTGTGGGGCCGATCCAGCACGTGGCGCTGGGCACCGAGTCGCCGGGCGTCGCGACGAACGCGCACGTGGTTTTCAAGGACAAGGCGTCGCTCACAAAGCTTCTCAAGCTCTCGGCGTTGCCGGCGACCGAGGACGATGCGGCGTCGGAGCCGATGGACGTGGTCGAAGCTGCCAAGGCAGCGTACCAAGCCGCGCGACCGGGTCTCCAAGCGTTAAAGAACGACGCCGACGAGTTTATGATGAACTTTGACGCGGAAGAAGAAGCGGTATGCAACGTCGAGCGATGGAAAGCCTCCATATCTCATGTGCATGCCGTAGGAGCGCAAGGAGCGAGAAGAAATGAAGAACCGCATCGACGACGACGGCTTTCAGATGGTTGTCAACACGAAGCGCAAGCGTCAAGAGGCCGCCGAGCTCCTCCCGTTCCGGAAGAAGCAGAAGAGCAAGGAGCTCACCGACTTTTACCGCTTCCAACTGCGCGAAAAGAAGCGCGGCCGTACGCGATCGCTCTGCCTTGTGCATTCTATAACGTATCGTGTTTTGTGTGGTAGAGACGTTGCGCGAGCGCTTTGACGAAGACCGGCAAATGGTCGACAAGCTCAAGAAAGCCAATAAATTTAAGCCCCAAACGGGCATGGACTAACAACAAACGCAGACAACCGCATAAAAATACTGCATCTCCTCTTACTCGTTTACACTGCATCGGTGTCGTGCATCTACGGAATCCTTGCCGAGCTTGCTCCTGCTGGGTGCATAGGTCGACACAATTGAACCTTGGTACTGCGCAACCATCCACTGGAACGACGCAACACACAGTATCTCAACGCTGAAACAGCGTAATACGATGCCGACGAAATCCACGTGCGCTGCCTTGAGAATAAAGAGGAATAGTGCAGCATCCACCAAGGGCTCTCGACGGCCCATCTCCTGGCGAGCCGTTATTCCTGGCACATTTGTGTGTAAACCAGGCACGTAGCGTGGATCCCTGCATCCGAGCTTGTGCTCTCATCGGTCCACTGTATGGTACGTACTTGAGGCCGCCTCCTGCGCTCGCCAGTAGCTCCCGCGCCAGCATCCCGGAGGTTTTGCCACGTATGCGACACGCGCCAATCCGCGTCGCGTATAACATTTCAAGGCGTTTCATTGGCCGAGCAAAAGTATTGGTCAAGAGCTCTCCGGATGGTATCCGGTCGTCGGCCGCGCGCTGGTTGGTGAGCATCACAGTTCATCTTGTGGAGCGATTTATTCTACAAATCACTGAGAAACAAGATGGTGGCCTCGAAGAAGACGGTATGTGAATATCCGTTGGAGAGCAAGCCGCGTCGGTCCTGCCTATCCTGCTGGTGCGCAGGGCCCCGTCGCCCGCTCTCCGCTCGTCCGGGCGCGCGCTGACCCCACCATTGCCTTTAGAAAAAGACGACGGAGAACATCAACTCGCGCTTGCAGTTGGTCATGCGTTCGGGCAAGGTCGCCCTTGGCTACAAGGAAACGTTGAAGAACCTCCGCAACGGCAAGGGTACGCGATCAAATCGACACGGCGCGACCGCAAGTGCTCATGTTGTCTCTTGAATTGTAGCCAAGCTTGTCATCTTGTCGAGCAACACGCCGCCGCTCCGCAAGTCGGAGGTCGAGTACTACTCGATGCTTGCCAAGACGGGTGTCCACCACTTCGCCGGCAACAACAACGACCTCGGTACGGCCTGCGGCAAGTACTTCCGCGTCTCGTGCATGTGCATCATCGACGCTGGTGACTCGGACATCCTTCGCTCGTCGACCGACTAAATTGATGCTTGAAACATTGATTTCTCAGGATTTGAGGCCCCTACTTTTATATTGCTTTGGGGAGACAGCACGAAAAGCGACGGGTCGTAGAACGCAGAGGCATGAAGTATGGGAGTTGATGATTTACAAGTGCATGTCGACGGTATCGCTGGCAACCAAGAAGGTCACGTGGTCCGCCACGTCACAGCCCACGAGGAGCGTCACCACGTGTATCCCTGGCCCGACGTCCGCCAGGGTGGTCGTCGCCACCCACTCGGTCGGGGCCGATAGCGGTAGCGGCTGCGGCCGGCCATCGAGCAGCAGCGTCGTATTGCCGTCGCTCGGACGGCGGTACCGGACGCGCACGCTCCGATCGTCGGTCTCGTGGAAGCGCAGCACAGTACCATTCAGCGGCGCAACAATGCGCGGGCGCGACGCAGCGACGAGCTGGTCGAGGGACAGCATCTTTCTTGATTGTCGGATCGGTAGCGCAACCTTGACGACCTTGTGGCCGTCGGGCACTAGTGTGAAGCGACGTGATGTCGAAATACGCTCTTCGTGCCCGCCGGGCAGTGGCACGAGGAGCTCAATTGACGCGACATGGTGTCCAGTGGCAAGGTCCGATAGCTCGTGTGTTGTAAAGGCCACGGTCTCGTTCCGTGGCAAGATGGCCAAGTCGGTCAGAACGAGGACGCCGTCGACGTGGATGGTGTATTGCAGCACTTGATGAAACATCGTGGTGTTGGAGATGGCGGCGATCTCATAGGTAAGGATACGCGACGATGTGATGGCTGGCAGTCGCGTAAAGGCCACGGAGCAGTTGGAGGCCATCGCCGCCGGGTCGTACGGGATCGCAAACTCGACTTCCCATGGCACCGCCTCGGGCGGGAAGGCGAAGGCGACGTAGCATGCACCAAGATACAGAAGCAGCGCCAGCAATACAGCGTACGAGAAGAGCGCGCTACCTTGGTTCGCCGCTTCCGCCGCCTCATCCAGCGCGGCCAAATCGTCGTCAACGTCGTTCTCGAGGTGCTCGAGCGGCGGTACGTCGTCGCTCGCATGCCAGCCCATCGCTTCGAAAAGCGCTGCGCCTACCATCGCGTCTGCCAGTGTGAATCGGTATCTTTCCAAAACTCAATGCAATGGTCCTCTTCAAATATTCATAGTGTAAAAGACCCTATTGGGTAGGAACGTGTCCAACCACGTTGAACCCGGAGATTTTCCGGACGTAAGCCTGAGCGGTGAGCTGCGGGACATCGCTTCCACGCCTCATGATGATCTCATGATGGCCGATAGTAGAGATGGCGACGATGGACTGGGACGATCGGCGACGACTGGCGCGTGACATTGCGCAGCTCACAGCGCCCGACCTCCAAGGCGTGCTGCTCCGGTGCCACCTGGCGCAGCGCACTAGCGTCGGCGCGATCGACGTGCCCATGCAGAGCGAAGACCACGCGGTGCGGAAGCAGAGCAATTGGCAGCTCACGAGCCGCGTCGACTTGGATGCACTGGACAACGAGGTGCTCCTCGAGTTGCGCAAGTTCGTCGACGCGTGCTATGTGCCCAAGCAGGCGCCGCTCGAGCAGTGCGAGATCTGCTGCGGCCTCTGGTCCAACGGCCGCGTCCTCGCGTGCGGCAACCACGCCTGCAGCACGCGTATCCACGAAGAGTGCTACGGCAACGTCCTGCGCGACGACCCCAATGGCCCTTGGTTTTGCCCGTCGTGCGCGTACGGCGCTCCACTGCAATGCTGCCTCTGTCTCCGCGAAGGCGGCGCGCTCAAGCCGACGAGCGACCGCCGGTGGGCCCACGCGATTTGTGCACTCGCGATTCCCGAACTGACCTTTCGTGATGTGCCGACGCTCGAGCCCATCGACGGCATCATGGACCTCGACCCGTCCCGGTTCCGGACACTGTGCAACCTCTGCAAGCGCAAAGGTGGTGCCGTCGTCCTCTGCGAAGAGCCCAGCTGTGCGACAGCGTACCACGTCTATTGCGCCGCCGAAGCCGGCCTTTGGATCGGTGCGCCTGGCGACGCGGCGACACCGGCCAACCCGATGGCGCTCTTCTGCGACAAGCACTTGCCAACGGATCGCCTTCTCGGGGCCAAGCGGTTTGTGAGCGACGAAGACTTGGCCCTCGAGGCGATCGAGGCCAAGCAAATTCGCAAAGACAACAACCATGTGCCCAAGGACAGTGCCGACGACTATGGCTTTATCATGAACTCGACGGCGCTGCTGCTCGAGCAGCTCAAGTGGAGTGCGCGCGTCGTCACGCCAACGCTACCGTCGTCCACCGATGCATCGACACTCTTTCAAGTGACGCCGCGCCTGTACAGCCAGAACCGATTTCCGATCAAGTCGCTCGTGCCCGAGGCCGTTGCGCGGCTCGTTGACGTCGGCGATGGCGTTCCCGTCTTCCCGCCACCGCGCGGTCGCAAGATTCCGGACGGCCCGAAACTCGTGGGTGGGCTCGTCGAGGTGTTTTGGAAAGGCCATGACGCATGGCACCGCGCGCGCGTGCTCGAGTACTGTCCAACGCGCCAGATGAACCACGTCAAGTACCTCGCCGATGGCCGCGACGAGTGGCTTCGGCTCGTGCCAGGCCAGTGCCACGTCCTCCGGCTTGCGTCCTCGGACGTCAAGCGCATCAAACTGGTCCGCTACAAGCACAAGGACCAGCGCGAGTGGCGACCCAAGCCCATGAGCTTTTAGACGTACATTAGAAAGACGAAGTAGTACAAGAAGCATCTTCTGGACGAACCTTATACTTGCGCCAGGACGACACGCGTACACGTACCAGGTAGGTCGGCGTCGTGGCTTGGTGCGATAGCATGTTGACAGTCCAACACCTATGGGGTCCTTGTGGCATCAAATGCTTGTTGCTAGCGAAGGCCTTGATGCTGGCGCATGCAGAAACATAACTGCTGTCACATTGGACGGACAAGCGACAGCTGCTAGCGACGAGGTGGCAGGTAATTGTGGTAAATATGGCCAGGACCAAACTTAGCTGCCACCGGGAAAACTCCGGGTACTTGGCATACAAACAGCAAGTGTTTCGAGCCGTGGCAACCAATTGGCCAATTGGTTGGTTGGTAATCTGCGCATGGAGGCGTCTTTGCTTGCTTGAGGGCTCACTAATCCTTTTCATCGCCTTAGTACATACCAGCATGTTGACCCAACGTGAAGAAGACATCTCGAAGATGCTCGCCGCCATGGTGCACATTGGCACGCGCAACGCCGATGCTCAGATGGGCGACTACATCTGGCGCCGCCGCAACGACGGCATCCACATCATCAACGTCGGCAAGACGTGGGAGAAGTTGATGCTCGCCGCCAAGATCATCGTCGCCGTCGAGAACCCGGCCGATGTCATTGCCATCTCGGCCCGCCCGTACGGCCAGCGCGCTGTCCTCAAGTTTGCCCAGTACACGGGCTGCCAGGCCATCGCCGGTCGCTTCACGCCCGGTACGTTCACGAACCAGATCACGAAGCAGTTCCGCGAACCCCGCCTCTTGATCATCACGGACCCGCGCACCGATGCCCAGCCCGTGCGTGAGTCGGCTTACGTCAACGTGCCCGTGATTGCCTTCTGCGACTCGGACTCGCCGCTCCGCTACGTCGATGTCGCCATCCCGGCCAACAACAAGGGCAAGCTCTCGATCGGTCTCCTTTACTGGCTCCTTTCGCGTGAGGTCCTCCGCCTCCGCGGCACGATCTCGCGCGCCCTCCCCTGGGAGGTGTCGGTCGACCTCTTCTTCTACCGTGACCCGGAGGAGCTCGAGAAGGCCGAGGAAGCCCAGACGGGCGTCGCCGACGAGGCCATGGGCCGCGCTGGCTGGACCAACGAGGCCGTCGCCGCTGAAGCTGCCACGGAAGCCCCCACGCTCTACACGGCCGAGCCCACCGCTGAGTGGGGCACGGCTGGCGGTGAGTGGGGCGCCGAAGCCGCCGCCGGCGGCTGGGACGCCACGGCCGCTGCCCCCGCCACGACCGGCTGGGACAACTAAACTATCTACTCGAAAGGATTGAGGAACCGAGGTCGTCTGTAGATTACATGGACAATACGACGGTGTTTAGCGATGGCACCTGGTTAATGTAATACACCATACAGTCGCCTCTCACAACTATTTTGTCTCCCTCTACCTCTCCATTCTGCAGTAACAAAGCGACGGAGCTAAGACGCTAAGCGAGCTACAGTATGTGTAGCGGCGTGCTCTTCTGGAGGGCGCGGACAGACAACATCGGCACGGTACCATGGGACCACTATGGCATGTACTTCACCGTATTTCGTGCAATGCAATTCGTTGCCGGTGCAATTCCTCACGATGCATCATTTCGGCGTTGCGTTCAAAGAATGGTTCATTGCCGTACTACGCAGGCGACATTGCGCGCGAGCTTGGCATTGTTAGTACCCGTACACTAAGCAAGACGGGCGCCGTCGATGATATCTAGCTGTGCTCGAGCTTTGTGTAGAGGCCTTCGCACGCGTCTTCGAGCAAGTCCAAGACCGTGTCAAAACCACCTTCGTACCACGGATCCGGCACCTTGGTCGCCGACGTGTTGCGAACGCAGTACTGGGTCATGAGGGAGACCTATTCGCATCGCCGGAACGTCAACAATCTAAGATTGCATCGCAGCAGCGTACCTTGGCCTTGGCGAGCGCAACGTACTCGGGGCCCAGAACGTCGCGGCTTCGTGCACGGCACGCACGTTGTTGCTGTCCATGCAAATGATGTGGTCAAAGCGACGCAGGTCCTCGGGCGTGAGCGGGCGCGACTTGCTGCTGAGCGTGTACCCGCGCTTCTTGGCTTCCTTCTTCATGCGCGAGTCGGCGCTGTCGCCTTCGTGGTACGAGAACCCGTTGGGCTTGTACCAGTTGGAGGCGCCGCCGCCCGTGCCGCACGAGTCGATGTCGTACGCCGACATCTTTCCATCGCGCGCGACCAGCCCCTTGAAGACGCCTTCGGCCGCGGGGCTGCGGCAGATGTTGCCCAAGCACAAGAAGAGCACGCCGACCATTTGTGGACTTTCTGGGCGAGTGCAGTTTGCACTTCGTCCCGTTATCCGGACACCCGGATAAAACGAGCCAATCAAACGCCCGCAATTGCGATCCTGTGATTTCACGCCACCCGTACACTCACCCGTACCTGTGCGTTCATCAGGGTGACACGCACCCGTCAGAGACGAAGAGAGAGAGTGAGTTGGTGAGAGAGTACTAGCGACCGACACATTCGGCGGCAAGAGCTCACTGCATGCGGCACCAGAAAAGCTCTGCTCTCACGTCCAATGCCAGATCACAGCGACCCCAAGGCGGTCTGTGTCGGGCACTGAAGAAACACTTGGTCTCGGTACTGTAGTTTGTCGAGATGGCTGATGTATATCGCTAGCTTGACGCTACCTTCAGGTAATAAGCGGCGCTGCTCACAGATCACGGTACCAGTTAGTAACATCGCTGCATCGGTGCCGCCGTCGCGACCCAGTCGACAACATCTCGAATAGAGTAGACATATCTTGATAACTTAGTCTGCTATGACGAAGGTCCATTTGTCCTAACCTACGATTTCGGTCGTCGAGGGGCGTGCTATCGACGCCATAAATGATGGATGCGCGTCGCCCACTGCAACGCGGGAGGCGCTGCCACGGGACCGCGACGTGGCCATTGTCAAGTGCTTGTGCTCTTTGCTGCGGGCGCCTTCCATGTACGGCGGGACGAGCAGGCAAATGATGTACGCGATGACCGTGCGCCACGCGTCACCGACGTCGTCGCTCCAGAAACTGCCGCCGAGCGACCGCAGCGTCTCAATCATGGCGAGACCGAGGCTGTCGAAGAACTCGAGCTTGACGCCATACTGAATGTGGCGCAACGCCAGGGCCGCAATGTTATTGGTGGCATCGGCCGAGTGTAAAATGTGGCGGATTGCACCGACAATGTTGACCAGCGCCTTGCTTTGCACGTGCATCGAGTTCCGAAACACGGGCCGCGTCGCCGGGTCGATCGTGTACAAATTTGTGAAAAAGACATCGTAAAACTGGACGACGGCCGACGACTCGGGCGGTGCGTCCGGGTCCGTGTTGACTTGGAACTTGCGCCGCTCGAGTTCGGCGCGCAACTTGGCGCCAATGACGACTTCCCACGACCGCGTCATGAGCTCTTCGTCCTTGGGCGTCGGCGCGCGCGTGGCTGTGAAATTGGGCGCGTATTTTTTTAGCAGTTTGATGTGGCCCCGCGCCAGCACGAGTTTGCCGTTGCCGTCCACGTCGACTTTGTACTTGTACGACGGCCCCGAGAAGAATGCGCCCATATGACTTGCGCGATGGAAATCGACCACTGGCAGATGACGGGGCGTACACCATGCTATCACGTATAGCGCCGTAAGCTTCCAAGTCCCAACAGACAACAAGGTGGTAGAGACAAGCACGCGCACCTCGTGCATATATATGCTCTCTTTCTGCCGTCGCCGGCGAAACAAGATATACCTTGGGCACCGTCGACGTTGAAACGGATCGAAGATCGCCCGCTTGTTCGATACTCCCAGCGCGTGGATGCTTTCAACCAATCACAAGTGATGCGAATCGGAGGACTACGTAGAATGAGCGGCATTGGTGTTCCAAGAGAGACCAAGGCGGCGTCGGAGCTCTATCAGCCATTCAAGGCTAACCATCGACTCTAATATATATCATTGTAAACAACGGCCGCTGCATGAAAAGATATCCTTTTCTTCGAAGCCGCACGCGAGGTGGACCAGCGGACAGCGCGCTTCCCAACGGTCACACGGCTACCTCGTGTGTCAGTTGGGAAGAGGGCATACATACGTAACCTTGGATGCAAGGATCAAAGCTGTGCGAGGCCAACGATTTCTTGGACATAGATAGCACTTCATTTTGTTCGTAGCGTGGTCTTGCTCGTTCCATCGTGTGCGACGTCCGAGCTCTGTGACCAAGGCACACCCAGTCAAGGCTCTTCTAGCCGTGCACGCAGCACGGAAAGAGAGATGGACGAGGCGTGGTCACGACTCATCGAGTCCGACGTTCCGGCCTTTAGTGTGCATATATTAACGCCGCTGTGCACTTGCGGAGCGCACAAGACATGCACCTCCTGACGAGGAGGAGCTCCGATTGCACGTGCAGCACGACACCTCGTGATGAACGACGGGATTCGTTTATTGTACTCTTTTGCCACAAGGATCCGTCAGGCGACGAGAGACAACGCAAGCTACTGGCTCGCAGAAGTGGCAGAAAGCTTGACCTTGACATCGTGTGGCCCGAAGCATGTTGGTTGCTGTACCCCAACAAGTGTTCTACGGTGTTTTCTTCAATGCCACGTTATCATCGAATGTTCCCACAGCGTGCGATTTGGAAGCATCATCGTCGCTGGTCCCGTCGCACCCACTTGACCATAGCGAGTAGTGAATCTATCTCTCACTTCCGATCACGAGCAATCCTGCAGCTCGCATCGTGAGAACCACGGACCCGGCCACATCCACGCAAGCCTATTCAGTGCAGCGCAATCGAACATGGTTGGAAAATCCTCGCACGTTTATGTTGCAACAACCAAATGCAAGCCAGAGCAAACGGGGTTGAATTCAAACGATCGTTACATCGAATGTGCTAAAGAAAGTTCACGATGAGTCACCGCAGCTATGTCAACCCAAGTACTCGTTGCGTTTTTCACTTCACTAGTAGTAGGTACTTACTATGACGGTGGTTCTTTTGTTGGCACGATCGCTGCAGCCCAAACGCCTCGAATTGAGAAGTATGGGACTAACATTTGACATGTACTTGGTTAGATTGCAGGCATCAGATCCCGAAAAGCTGTGACCGATTCCGCTCCCTGGCAACAACTAAAACGTGAAACACCAGACAGAGGGAGGCCGTACTCCCTAAACACCGGCTAGTGTACTAAGAGGCAGAACGGAAAGTGACAGCTAAGCTACGTCTACAGACTGCTGCCAAAGGACGTACAGTCCCATATCAACGGGCTTTTCCCGTGGGACTACACATGCAAACACACATCGCCTTGTCCCGGCCTAGTGGTGTTGACGTGGGCTAGGTTCACACCCAGTGCCCCACCACTGTATGCGACCAACGGTGCAACAACTGCGTCTGGTTCAACGTCTGGCGAGTCCGGAACGACCGCGTCTTCCGCGCCGACCTACCGCTGCCAAGTCCATGGACGATTGCCGTCAAGGCGGCACGTGTCGCTCAACTGCACGTGCACCACAGCCTCGTACAAGAGCCCGAGCAGCCTGCTCTTCGTAGTCTTCTCCAGCTCCTCGCCCAACACGAGTGGCCGCGACGTCACCTCGTCCCGCGGATCGCGCTCCTGCCTCCGCCTGCCTAAATCAAGTCCCTCAACCGAGTACACACAACGAAGAAAGTCCGACAATTTTATTTAGCATAGTTTTATCTATTGTAATAGACGACCCACTTCAACAACAACCAACGGTGCAACAATCATATGGCTGATGAATTGCCCAAACCTCTTTTCTTTATACCGTCTGGTTTGTGCGTGCACGGGGCTTGCTCATTTTTGGAACGTGACGCAAAGGACACTATTGGGTGAGTGCCAAGACGAGCTGTGTCGAGGACACGTCCCATTTCTGGGGTCGTTTGAGTGGTCAAGAACGCATTTCTTATTCCCATCGGACGTTAGATACCGAAATGGACGACGGCAGCATGCAGTATTGGCTGCAGAATCGCTGCGACCTCGGCCGCGGTCATTCGATCACTCGGTTCTGGGGCCACGCAGTGAGCGACCAAGTTGGCGTAGTCTTCCTCGCAATCCTCCGAGAGAGGCGGGCGGAAACCGTTTGACACCAGATCCCGCAGCACGGCTTCGTCGACTTCGTCTTCGCCATACGGCAGCTCGTGGGTGTCGAGCTCGGTCAAAATCACACCCAGTGCGTAGACGTCCGATGCGGTGGTGCGACCAGCCCCAACGAGGACCTCGGGCGCTGTCCACCGCAGCATCGAGTTGGCATCGTCGCTGTCCGGCGTCGTCCCAGGAACGCCGACCTTGATAAACTGCCGGCGGGAAAAGAAGACGTTCTCGCTCGAGAGATGGCCGTGCACGAGGCCGCTGGCATGGCAATCGGCGAGCGCGTTGGCGACGCAGTACGCGACTTGGACTTGAAGCAACTTGTACCGACCATAGTGGTACTCGCGCGGCACGTGAAGGAGGAGGTTCCGAAGACTTCCTTCGTCCATCGCCTCGACGGCGACGGTATTGGGCCCGTCCAATGCATAGATGGGCACCACGAACGGCGACGAGAACCTACAACATGGATTGTGATGTGCGTGCATCCACAATGATTGCTATGTACGAGAGGATCGCGTCGACAGACTCGTTGCCCGCTGGCGAGAGGAAGCGCTTTTCGGCGATTCGGAGGCCGATCGGCTCGCCTGGCGTTGGCATCTCGTCTCTAGCCACCTACGCGTCGGTTGAGACTCGGGGAGCACTCCACAAAAAAACTACCGTGCCTACCGAGACGGTGAGCGCACTGTGCAGCGCGCGCACGGCTCTCATGTCGCCGCAGGCGATGGCTTCGGCCAGTGCCGTCTTTCCGTCCTACGCGCCCTGAGAAAGCTGCAACAGTCTTTAGCTAGACATCCTACCGAACTGGTCGCGTCCAGGTCGACACCGGGGGCTTTGAGCAAGACTTCTAAGACGGCGAGGTTGTTCGAACGCACGGCGATGTGGACAAGTGCGTTGCCGTCCTAGCCATCACGTTGGATCATTCCCGAGTCGATCGTCGAATTGGTTGTTGCACCTCGTCCGTGCAGTTGGGGCGACACGAGATGGCGAGAAGGCGCTGTAGCGCAACCGCGTCGCCTTCTCTTGTGACGCGAGCCAATTGCTAGAGGGATCGCCATTTTCGCCTGGGAGCCTACAACTTGAGCATGTCCCACCGTCGCGTGTTCGGTCTCCTTCACGGCCTGTGCGTGATTCGCCGCGGCGCGACGCTCTTCGGCTGTGCCAATATCGAGTGCCTCAAGAAGCTGTTGCACGCCATCCGGAAGCGCTGGCACCGACTCCTGCATAATACACACATGTGAGGCAACGACGCTGGCCGTTGGGACGCCTACGCGGCGAGTAACGTTGTTCTTGAGAGCTACTTTAAGTCGCGCAAAACACGACTTGAACATGTCGTCGTCCGACGTGGCCGGACTTGGCGCGTTGCAGCCAGCGCACGTGGTGCTAAAGTCGAACGTCATTTTGCACAGGTTGCATTCCATCGTCCATTTGATGACGTGGCCTCGCTTGTGCAGCGTTCGCAGCCGCCGTAGCACGACGACGAGCTTGTCGCGCGTCGATGCAACGTGGTCGCACGCGCTACAAGTCGCTTGGATCGAGTGCCAGCTGCCACAGCCAGCGCAGCTCATATCCCGTGTATGAAGCAACGCTTCCTATAGCACGATATGCCGACTTGTGCTTCGTATAGACTAGGGAAGGTGACGTACACAAACGGACGCAGCCTTCAAGAGCGGTAGTAGAGCAGCCATCGATGCTTTCCTTTCGACAACTTCGAAAAGCGTCGGTCCCTAAATAATGCCATCCGATGAGAAAAATTCAGTTCCATGGGTCAACGTGCTGCTACCACTTTGGGGGAGATTCCAACGTCGGCGTCGGCGTCCAGGAGCTGCGCCACGCCAACCGGATCCTTGTTGATGACGGCGTAGATCAGCGGTGTCGCCCCGTCTTTCTACATGGATTTAGTGAGCCACATAAGAAAGGATGTTGCAAAACCTCGGTTCGAGCGTCAATGGCGGCGCCGGCGCGCAAAAGCAAGTCGACAATCGGGTAGCGCCGTGAGCTGGCCGCCAGATGCAGCGGCGTCCGACCGTCCTACGCCCCATGATATACTTGCCTCTCGACGACAACGAAACCAACCACACGGGTGTCGACGTCCGCACCAGACGCCAACAGCACTCCGACACAGTCCTTGGCGTTGCACATCGCCGCCAGATACAGCGGCGTCACGTCGCCCTAGACGTCGCGAGATGTCAATAGTCCTAGGATGGCCGGGAACACCTACGGGCAAGAGCGCATTGGGGTCCATGCCCGCAGCGAGCTGCGCACCAACGACGACGGCCATATCATTCGTGAGCGCTCGGTGGAATGCGTCGAATGCCTAGATCAAAACGCATGTCTCACGTGTATATGTACCATTGAAGAAGAGCAGGTGCATACTTCCTTGCTCGCCACCGCCGCGGCTACGTGCGTCTGCAAGACTTCGACAATCTTGGTGGCCGTCGGGCGCGCACTGGGATCCCCCAGGAGACACTGCTCCGTCAGTTGCTGGTACCAAGGCTCGCAGTTCTTGCGGAGCGTCGGTCGGACGGAGCCGTCGAGAACGCCGTTCACAAACACATGATGCGTCATGGGAAGCTGGTCGTAGTACGGCAGTTCGAGCGTGTCGAGCTCCGTGAGGAGCACACCAAAGGCATAGACGTCGGCTTCCATACCGTAGCGCCCCAGAATATCGGTGCGGAGCGCCTCGGGCGCGGTCCAGTGGAGTGTCCCCGGCACAGCAGTCAAAATCGTCGCGCGATCCCGGGCCGTGCCCAAGTCGCCGACCTTGATGTAGCCCATGCTACTGACGAGCACGTTGAGGCTCTTGATATCGCCGTGGGCAAATCCCATGGAGTGCAGATCGCGCAGTGCGTTGGCAACGACCCAAGCCACGTCGAGCTTGGTCATGTTCAGAGACATTTTCTCGCCGGACTTCTTCTTATCGAGATACGTGCGCAGATTGCCCCCGTCCATGTACTCAAGAACGAGCGCCGGTGTCTTCGAGTGGCGGTCGGCGATCGCCAAGAGCTCCACCAAGTACGGTGACGCACACCTACGACGAAGTTAGACCCAAGAAGACACCAACAAAAGGTCGAGAGACGTGAGCATCGCGTTGATCTCGGTTCGGAACGACTGTACGTGCGCAGCACTGTTGGGGCGCTTGACAGCGACGAATCGCCCGTGGTACGAGCCCTTGGAGACGTTGCCATTGCCTCCAGCGCCGAGGTGAGAACGAACGCCTTGGACATCCGCCAGCGTGATCTGGGTACGTTCATGGCTAGGCTGTAATTCCTTACGGAGCAAGATGCACACATACCTCGTCCACAGGACGCTGCTTGTGGCGAAAGATCATGTCGGCGATTTGCGTGTAACCACGTTGGATGGCCAACGAGAGGGGCGTTTTTCCTTCCTACTCGGCGATGGCAAGGCATGAGTGTACCCCGCATCCGGCGACTGTGGTACATGGTTGTGCGTATCGAGGTGCATTTGCGGCTGCTTTAGAAGCAGCTCCAACAGTGCCACGTTCTGCGTCATGACGGCCCAATGCACAAGCGAGCACCCGACCTGTCGAGCACATCGTTATACGATGTATGTCAAAAGAGACGTCTTCTACCTCGTCCGTGACGTTGGCGCTCAGCGGGCGCTCCAGAAGCAGACGAATGCAGTCCACGGCACCATGCTGGGCCGCCTCAAGAAGGGCGTCTTTCTGTAGTTGCCATCAGCGTCCATACCGCAAGGCGTCGTTTCGTACGTGTTCGATGGCGTCGTCGAGCAGCGACTTGAGCGCCGCATTGCGGCTGTTGTGGGCGAGGCTCCACGGCGTGTCGCCATCCTACACCAGCTGTGAATAGGCGGCATCGGAAAAGGCCTTGTACATAATTGACAACGTCAAAGTCAAAGCCAGCGTTCAAAAACACGTCGACGACATTGACGTAGCCCGTGGCGACGGCCAAATGTAGCAGCGTTGTGCCTCGCTATGCCACAAACATCATATCAAGTCTACCGACACGTAGGCGTCGTACTGCGTCGCGCTGGTTGACGACGCCACGCGGTGATGCGAGCAGCATCGACACAATCTCGGCATGTCCTTTCTGAATTGCAATGTGCAGCGGCGTTAGGCTCTCCTAACGAAGACACACCGTGTCAAACAGGCAAGACATTGGTGGCACTGAGATGAGTACGTGGTAGAGTGCCGTCGTGTCGGCGCCAAGGTCGATGAGCTGCCGCACAAGCGGCGTGAGGCCCAAGCGACAGGCCATAAAGAGCGGACTCTCGCCCCACTACACCTTGTGGTTAGGTCTGATCGATTGCACGGTGACGCACCGCATCATCGTTGACATCGGCGCCAGCATCAAGGAGCAGCTTGGCCGTCGTCACGTGGCTGCCGTAGAGGGCTTGCGTCAACGCTGTCGCTCCTCGCTAAGACATGCACAGTTGTAAGTAGGTTGCGTGTTCGTAGCTCTGGAGCACCGCATCGCGGCGCTTAATGTCGGCCCCAGCCGTCACAAGCGCATTCACAAGAGGCAAATACCCACGCATGGCGGCCATGTGCAGCGGCGTCAACCCGTACTACGCACTCGTCAACGTGAGTCGTCCAGACGACAGCAACAATATACTACCGTATCTAGGACGTCGAGAGCTGCACCGGCACCAATGAGCGCGTTCAAGACGTCGATTTGATTGGTGTCGACGGCCAGGTGCACGGCATGGCCGACCTAGAATGAATTAGATCCAAGGTTGCAACGAGCGTGACTACCTCGTCCGCTGCATTAGCATTGGCGCCACGCGCCAGAAGCATCGCAACCATCTGGGGCTGGCGGCCGGCCACCGCAAGCATAAGTACCGTCTGGCCAACCTACGTACGTCTCATTCACCAACATGTCAGTCCCGTCACGCGTACGTTACTCGCCGACTCCATTGGCACCACTTCGTTGAGCAGCGTTGCAGCAACCTCCAAGTTGCCAAAAAATGCCGCACGAAGGAGCCGCTGCTCCGGCTATCGAGACCATTTCGCATCAACGCAAGAGTAGAAGGACTGGGCGTTGACGTACACCGAGACTCTCGTCTCGCGACTGGAAATCCTATGATCCACAAGGTAAGACACAAGATGTAGCATGTAGCGGGCTCCAACCAGAGGGACGCGTGGTGCGGGCTGGGGTTCCGACTGGACTTGGGGCTCCGGCTCGACTTGCGGCTGCATTGAGCTGTGGCCGTGGCTTTCCGGCGCGGCGCGCAACTACAAAAAAGGTCGTGCCATGTTCCCAAAAGCTAGCACCGTACCTGGTCGTTCCGGAACGCGCGCAGCGACAACACGAGTTTGGATTGCCTACACAAAGACATGCGTGTCTGTGCTGTGATGGAGCAGCAGGAACCGCACTTGGCGAGCAGCTCGGGGCGCAAGTTGTTGACAATCTCGACTGCAGTCGGACGATCCGCTGGATTTATGGCCTTGCAGCGCTTGGCGAGCACGGCGTACCACGCCGAGTTGTCTTGCTCGACGACGTCCGGGTACAGCTTCTCGAGGAGGACGCCAAAGGCGTAGATGTCGACGGGCGTGCCGTATGTCTCACGACTGGACGTGGAAACCTCGGGGGCCTGCCACTCGGTTGTGCCGACGCCTGTCGTCATGTGCATGGCCACACCCTTTGCAATGCCGAGGTCGGCGACCTTGATGTAATGGACCGACGAGAGGAGGATATTTTGGGTCTTGATGTCTCGGTGCACAATGTTTCTCGCGTGGAGGTCCTTCAGCGCGTTCGCAACGGCCCACGCGATTTCGACGTGCGAGTACCCGACGGCGACGGGCGCTTGGGTCATCTCTGCGTCCAGGTACGACGCGAGGTCGCCGCCATCCATAAACTCGAGAAGAAGCTGCGGATCGGCGTCCTCGTCGGCTGTCGCGACAAGCCGCACCACGTACGGCGACGGATTGCTACACAACGACGCCTAAGTGTCGATTCCAAACACCTCGTCGTACGCTTTCATGACGTTGATTTCGCGACGAAAATGGCTGGCATCACGTAGGTTCTTGAGCATCTTGACGGCCACGTCGACGCCGTCCAACGTGTCCTTGAACACAATGCCAGAGCCGCCAAAGCCCAACAGTGCTGTCGGCGGCGGGGACCGACGAGGCACCTATGCTTCATATTGACACATGCGTTTTGGAGAGGAACGGCGAGCGTACGAGTGGGGCCGTCGTCGCTTGGGCGGTGTGCAGCAAGTGCACCATGTCGTCTGCGGCCATCTTGATGGCGAGCATCATGGGCGATTCGCCAAACTACACAATTACAAAGCACTGACGATGCCAACTCGAGATCCTAACGGACCTTGTTGATACGCGTGGTTGGAATCCCCGATTGCTCAAGAAGCACGGTGAGCAGTGCGCGATGACCGCCAAGTACCGCGAAATGCACGAGCGTGTTCCCATGCTATGCGTTGTTGTGTATACCTTGCCGGACAAAGTGCATCGTACCTCGTCCACCTCGTGCGCGCTGAGGCCCTTGTCAAGCAGCGCAAGGACGCCGTCAACGTCGCCGAGGCGCGCCGCGTGGAGCAAGGTCCTTTTCTACAGCGTGATACCGAATGCATTCGAGACGGCCACGAAGGTAGAAAAGGGTACTACCTCGACACGCAACGCTTCAAGCAAGTGGACAATGGCCATGTGGTTGTGGGTCTTGGCCGCAGTGAGCGGCACCTGTCCATTCTATGCCTTCTCGGTGAATTCTTCGTATGGCTAACTTTTGTTGACGCACCTTGGCCGCCGTGTCCAGCGTCGCACCCGCGTAGACCAGTCGGCGCACGACTGCTTCGTGGCCACGAGACGCTGCAACGTACAGCGCCGTTGCGCCCGTCTACAGAATAATCCTTGACGCCATCGAACGACGCTGTGGTGGGTACCCGGCGGTCGATCGTATCGACGTCGGCGCCGGCTTGCAAGAGTAGATCCACGACGTCCACGTGGCCTTGATCGGCCGCAGCGACAAGCGACGGCACGCTCGTCTACGCGGCGTGACGGCATCCGGTCAATAGAAAACTCGTGTACGTACCGCCGTGCCGTCATTGGCGTGGGCGCCCAATTCGAGGAGGGCCGCAACGGCGGCAGAGTGGCCGCCCGTCGCGGCGCATCGTAGAATGGTCGTCCCATCCTACCGCGACATGACGAGAAAATGCCGATTTTGGCTGGGACGTACCAAGGAAGCGGCGTTGACATCCCCACCCGCATTGGACAGCACGTGCAGCATCGCGTAATGACCACTCATTGCCGCAAAATGCATGGCCGTGATGCCAGCCTACGCCGGAGTCATCTCCTGATGTGCTTGGTCTTTCGCACCATGTTGGCGTCGACGACGCTCATGCCTGCCTGCAAGAGCTGCATCGCGACGTCCACGTTGCCACTTGCGGCAGCCGCCATCAGAGACGTGGTGCCATCCTAGTAATATGTGGCGGCACCGTAAGCCATTAATCGATTTGCGAGTTGTCGCGCGTACCCAGCTGTGCAACCCGACGTTGGCTTCAGCAGCTAAAAGCGCTTCCACCGTTTCGCCGCGTCCGGCCGCTGCGGCTTCCGTCAAGGCAGTTGCCCCGCTCTATGAACCATATATCACGACGCTCACATAACTGTCGGAACACAAACTGCTTACGGCCAGCTGCAAGTTGACATTGGCTCCGCCGACAACAAGACGGTCCACGACGTCCCGGTGCCCTTGCTGCGCTGCACGAAAGAGCGGCGGGGCGTTCATCTAAACAACAAAGCGGTGGTGATGCAGACACTCTATACCGATATCGGTAGTACCGCATCCAACGCATCGGCGGTCGCTCCGGCGTCCAGCAGCACAGACACGACGTCGACGTGACCGTGCATCGCCGCAATCGCAAGTACCGGGTTCCCGTACTATTCGATGCATATTGTGGCGTTGTTCATACTTTGATTGGCTTGTACCGAATCGACCGTGTTGGGATCCGCGCCGTCGTGGAGTTGCTCCACAACAACGCTTGCTTGGCCGGCCGCCACCGCCTCGAGAAGTGTCCGAATCGGCATTGCCGTCTTGTCTCTCCTGCATCGCGTCATGCAGTGAGCGCTGTGGCATGGGTCACTCGTGGATCGTACCGATGCGTGCACGCCGAGTAGCTTGCGTCAAAAGGCAAACTGTGCTTAGGTTCACAGGCTAAGATATCAATCCCATGCAATCGATTGTAAGAGGCTCGTATCTGGCCCGAATGATATGTATTCATTTATAGAGGTATGAAGCCTACCTGGTCCTCACAACATACTAATTTCCAGTGATTTCGGGTACATACCGGTACTCATGGCCATCGTGCTTACCGGAACGATCGTATTACACTCTCTGTACTTACTCGGCCACACCGTGCGTGGCGTTGGCACGAAAACACCTCTGCACTCCTCGGCACCAGAGCCGGCAAGCTGGCACGACGGCGGTGGATCACATGGCGCCGTGGAGCTCAAACGACACGTGCTTGGTGTACTTCTTGGCTGGGTCCACGTGCGACGCCGCGCACAGGATGGTTGGGTAATTCTGCGCCATGAGCGCTTGCAATCGTCCCCTTTGTCGACTTCAAATGCAAACGTGCAGGTGGGTGAAGAAGGGCCGACGAAGCAGCTTCCGGTTGATGGGAGCAATAATGTCTCTTATCAAGATAAGCCATCAATCCTGCACCACGACCTCCAGTCGTCACACCTCCAGTCGTCACACCTCTTCTCGGAGTTTATAGTTGTTGACAGGTCCTCATATGTAAAGGTTCATAAACGACTCACTGAATGACCCTTCCGCCAAGAGTACTCCGTCACATCGACCGCGAACCGCGAGTTGTTTGACGTGTACAAGGCAGTGAGGACAAGAGCCTGTACGAGTTCTACCGCGACCTCAACGGGAAGAACCACGGCTGCCCGAACCTGGTGACTCTCGCACGTGTGCCGTCTGCGATTCCAGTCTCGCAGGCTGGCATTGAGCGTGGCTCCTCGCGTCTCGCGCGATTCAAGTCCAAGATGACCAACCGTCTCAACTCGGCCAGTACGCAAGCTCGGTTCATCATAGCGAGCAATAAGCCCAATATTTTGATGCCCAGCGACTGGGACGACATGCACCGCGGCCAATTTCGAGCTCAATACATCGACAAGAAGTTTGCTTTCAACGAAGAGCGCCTTATCCGTAGTTTTCAGATGAATCTATCCTGATTGACCCGGTTGTGAGAATTTAATTAACCATTCTCTGTAAAAAGTCGGAATCGCATACGTCATCTACAATTGAGGGCGGATTCAGGATCCGACTTTCTCCCTTCCAACAATTTTAAATATCATACAAATTTCAAGTCAAAGCAACTTCATGTATTTTTGATGGGAGAAAGTCGGAACCTGAAAAAACGCGCCTCTGATTGGCTGATTTTAGCCATTTTGACTTGCAT